TGTAAAAATCTTTGTTGACCAGTGTGTGGTGGTCACCAAAGGACTTCCTTGGTGTAGTCATCGCCAAAGGTTGGATTATGTGTCATTGTCGCCATCGGAGTACACTCGTCAACAGGCGCTATCAGCAACGTGAAGAAGACGAAGCCAAGAAGGCCTAGGTTGACCCATCGGGTTATGAATATAACTGGGTTAGGGGCTCACTAACTTAATAAGCCCAAACTGTGATTGGGCCCAACACAAGCCCACCAGTTCAAGTCCTTGGTTCCAAAGTCCAAACCTAGTTGTTAAGCCCAGGCTAGCCCAACCCAGTTCAAACCGGTTTGGTTCGGTTCATCCAGTTCAAACCCCCACCTAGTTTGATTTATTCAGAAACAGGTGGTCTTCCTACCAATTTAGCGTTTTTCCTATCGGTTCATCTCTTTCCAGCTCTTTAGCAGCCGATTTAGCTACACGTGTCTTTCTTTCAGACCGGTTCAACAGCTTCCTTCGACCGATTCAACTCCCTATTCCCCAAATCTGTATCGATTCCATCTCCCATGCTGGTTCTCTCTTTTTTCTAGCCACATATGTTCATTCCATTGACTGATTTTGTAGCCTTCAGGTGATTGTTCGTATTATTTGACATATTTCTTCAATTTGTCTCAAAATCTATAGAACCCAAGACTAATACTCCACCTCCTGCTCCAATTTTGTCACCCACACTTTCCCCGACTATCCTTCTTAATGCTCCTGTGACTTCAGTTAGGTTCAATTGGACTAATTATGTTTTATGGTCCCCAATATGTTCAAGTATTTCTTAAAGGCAAAGGTATTTTAAAAAGTATTTGGTGGGTGAGAAACCCAAGGAAAATAACAATGGATTCAATTAGTGGGAACCAGAGGATGCACTGATTATTTCATTACTGTTAAATAGCATTGAGTCTCATATCGGCTCTACACTGCTTTATCTTGATAATGCCAAAGAAATCTGAGATTCTTTGGCAGTCATGTACTCTGGTACTGGTAATTTTAATCGTGCTTATGAGGTCTGCAAACAATATTTTTACCTTGAGCATTGTACCCTGAGTGTAGAAGAGTATTATTTCCAAGTTAGGGTACTTTGTGAGGAGTTGAGGATTTACCATCCGTACCACCGATGTTACACTTCTGTAGAGACAGCGTGAGGATTTGAATGTTGTTCTCTTTCTTGTTAGTTTGAAGCCTGAGTATGAGCCTATTCATGCTCAGATTTTGGGTGGTCCCAGCGTTCCATCTCATCCAAAGGTCTTTTCTCGCTCACATAGCACTACTTTGTCCGATGCTCATTCTACTTTAGGTATTGATCATAGTGCTTATGTGAATCGTTCAACCTTAGTTGTCTCTAATGGCAATAGTATTAGTACTTCGAGTGGCTGTGGCAATCGTTGTGGTGGTCGTCCCTATCGAGGGGGACATAATGGAGGTTCTAGAGGCCGGTACTCATTTATGTACTCAATGTGGTTACGACCATATTGTTGATTACTGTTGGGATTTACATGGCAAGTCCTCTGGCATTGCCAATCAGGAAGATGCTTCCTCCTTACTTGCACCATCAATACGTTTGGCCCCTCTTGACTCTAAGTTAGTTTCTATTACAAAGACGGAGTATACTCAGTTCATGTCCTAGCAACAGGCAGTACCATCGTTTTCCATTGCTACTTTTGTCCAGTCAAATACCACTTCCACTTATTATCCTCCACCCGTAACCCCTGGATTATAAACTCTAGCGCCTCTAATCACATGACTGATTTGTGTCACTAGTGTCTTTTCTACTTATCATTCTATTATTCCCCCTTATAGTGTTACTCTTGCTAATGGTACTTTTTCTAAAGTATCAGGGTTGGGAACTAATCAATTAAGTCCTGATTTGTCCTTATCATCTATTTTATTTGTTCCTCAGCTTATCTTCAGTTTACTTTCTATTAGTAAGATTATTCGTTTGTGTTAACTATTCATTTGCCTTTTATCCTTTTTATTATGTGTTTTCGGATCTACAGACAAAGAAATAGATTGGTATGTAGCATGAAGCTGGTAGTTTCTCTTACTTTGACCTTGATTTATCTCCCCGAGTACTTTACATCTCGTCATCTCCATTTCAATGACATTATTGTCTTCGTGATCCCTCTCAGCAAAACCTGAAGCGTCAAGTTCCTAATCTTAGTCAATGTGCCGTCTATATCTTGTGAAATTTGTTAAGTATCACCGTGTATCATTTCAGTCTAGAATCAATAATTGAGTATTTAGTCTATTTAAGTTAGTCCATTGTGATATATGAGGTTCAATTAAAAATATTCACCTAATAATGAGACATGTTGTAAAGAAATCAAAACCCAATATGATTGTCATTCGTATTTTACATTTTGATAATGCTCGTGAATACGAATATGACTCCTTCTCTACTTACCTTCGTAAATCGTAAGACCGATATTATTCATCAAACGTCATGTGTCCACACACCACAACAAAATGGTGTGACTGCGTGTAAAATCATCATCTATTGGAAGTGACTCACGCACTTTTATTTCAGATGCATGTTCCTCGCAAAGTCTATAATTTGTTCTTTTTCCTAATTCTCTATTTTACTTACCTCTAAAGGTTTTTAGATGTGTTTGTTATAATCACAACGTGGGTCCCATCATATTACAAAATGTGTTTTCTTGGTTATTCTTGCACACAAAAAGGGTATTGATGTTATAGTCGCATACTTCGCAGATACTTCACTAGTGCTGATGTCATTTTCACTGAATCAGACTCCTATTTCCCAGCTCTTGCTCATCCACTCTTGACTTTGAGCAGTCACCTCCACCCCCCTTCCATTACCATCTGTCCTTCAACTACCTATTGTCTTACCACCCCGGTCCTCTCCAATTCCGTTCCGTGTATACTCTCATCGTCCCCGATCATCGACTGAGATGCCCCTACTGTCTTCCTCGCCACCTTCTGATCTTTTTCTTCCAATTCTTTCTGCCTCTTTACCTATTGCTCTACATAAACATACTCGGTCTTCTGTTACTAAGCATCCTATTACTAATTTTATATTTTATGATGTTTTGTCTCCTGTTTTCTTTTGTTGTATATCTCAGCTGCCTACTGTCTCTATTCCTAAGAGGCTAAGACATTAGTGTGCGTTATCTGATCCAGGTTAGCGAAAAGCTATGGAAGTGGAGATAGAGATCTTACACCATAATGGGACTTAGGATCTTGTTCCCTTGCCCCTGGTAAAAATATTGATGGTTGTTGGTGGGTGTATACAATCAAATTTAATCCTGATAGTTCTGTTGAATGCCTCAAAGCCCACCTTGTTGCCAAGAGATTTACTCAAACCTATGGCATTTATTATTTGGAAATATTTTCTCCCGTTACCAAAATTTCTTCTGTTCGTATAATGATTTCTTTGACTGCTAATCTTCATTGACCTTTATTTCAGTTAGATGTGAAAAATGCCTTATTGCACAATGACTTGGTTGAGGAAGTCTATATAGAGCAGGCCCCTAAATTTGTTACCTAGGGGGAGTGTCATAAGAGTGTTTGTTGACCAAAGCAATCTCAGTATGATTTCAAGCATTAACCAAGGGCATGGTTTGATAAGTTTTCAGAGGCAGTTTAAGAATTTGGTCTTCTTAGATGTCAAACAGACCGCTCTATTTTTCACAGACATACTAATTTTGGATATATTATACTGATTATTTATGTAGATAATATTGTAATTACGGGTGATAATTATGAGAGTATTGCAAAGTTGAAAATCTTCCTGTAGGACCGATTTCATACTAAAAACCTAGGCAAACTCAAGTATTTCTTGGATATTGAAGTTGTCAAGTCTAAACAAGGCAATTGTTTGTCTCAGCAAAAATATGCACTTGACATGTTAGCAGAAGCAGGTTTACCAGGTAGTTGACCAATTGATGTTCTTATCTATTCAAACTAGACGTTGTTGATGGATGATGATGCATTATTTGAAAATCCTGGTCGATATCACTGGTTGGTTGGGAATCTAAATTATCTGACCAGATATTGCATATACAGTTAGTGTTGTGAGTCAGTCTATGGGATGCCAGAGACTACCACATTGCTATGTAGTCATCCGCGTTATTCGAACTAATGGGCATATTAGAGTGAAAAGTTTTACAGATACCGATTGGGCTGACTCTCCCTCAGATCGAAGATCAACTATTGGATATTATACTTTCTTAGGAGACAACGTGGTTACATGAAAAAATAAGAAACAAACAGCGGTAGCATGGTCTAGTGCTGAGGCTGAGTATTGGGCAATGATATATACCATTGGTGAGTTAACATGGTTACGACACTTCTTTCAAGAGATTGGTTTTCAAGTCTAGTTTCTTTTACAATTGTTCTATGACAACCAAACAGTTCTTCATATTACTGCTAATCTCATATTTCATGAGAGAACCAAATATATCGAAATTGATTGTCACTTTATTTAAGACAAGATACTTGATAGAGATAATGCTACACCTATTGTGAGATCTGAAGATCAGCGTACAAATATGTTCACCACAGTATTGAATCGTACTTGTCTTACAACGATTTACTCCAAACTTGGATTATATAATATATATACTCCAACTTGAGGGGGGTGTTGAGAGTATTATTAAAATATCATTATATTTTATATGGTTGTAAAGTATACCTCCCTAAGGGTATACTAGTCTTTTATGTTTCCACATGTAAAAATAAATATAAGTTGAGAGTGAGAGGTAGGGTATGTGATTAATCTTTGCCTCTTTTATATTGGTTTTCTCTCATAATTGTTCTCTCCGTCCAAATCTAACATTTCCTTATCGGAAAAAAAAAAGATAGGTATATTATGCCAATACTCATGAGTTGTATAAAAACATGACCACACCTTTATATTAACAAAATAACATATAGACCCCAATTAGAGATTTTTAATTGGGGAACAACTTATTTATCCTTCGAGATATTGATAAAAACAGGTCAATCTTAGTCAAAATCAGTCAAAACAAGACCTCCAACCCCTCTGACCATGAACTCCCGACAAGATTCCCCCCCTCCTTGACATGACTCCACTTCTCTAATAAATCCCCCCTTTCCTCTTGCACTCTCAATTCTCCTCCAACACCTACCTTGCCTACCCCCAGGCGTCCCCCTTCTCCTTCACCCAACAATTCTCTCCCTTCGCACTCCGTTTTGCGCCTATAGTCCTTATTCTTCCCCCATTGACCTTTCCATCTCCCAGTCTCTGCCTTTGCCCCTTTGAAGGAGGAAGATAAAATGACTAGTACAACTTAATCCATAAACCTCACATCCAAAGCAACGGGGGTTGGTTGCACAAATCATTTTGCAAACTAGCGCCACATCTATGCATTCTTGTACATCATAAATCACCATGTCTTTTCTCAATGCCAACAAGGCCTTGACATGAGCTCCGCCAGTCCTCCTGTGCCTTACATTACTCAAAACACTGCTCTTACTTATCCATAAAATTGTCTCAAGAACCAAACTTGTTAACTTCGGCCACAAATATTACTTCTTTTATTAAAGCACAAGTTGTCACATCTTTGTGTACAATCTCAAATCCACATTAGTCCTGGTCTTTCCCATCATGAAACACTACCTATAATGACTCATCCTTGATGTAAGTTGACAACTTCTTTGCCTTACATATCTCATGGTGTGGTAAGCATGTCAATGACATAGGAGCCATTCTTCTATTAGATTTCCGTAGCTTTTGGTTACTAATTTTTGTGTTGTCAGATAGTGAAAACTATATGGTTATCGTTAAGCATCAATAGAGAGCCATTAAGATCCTGAATATACCTTATTGGATATTAGTCCTTTGCTTTTATATAAATAGATGGTATATTATGCCGATACCCCATGAGTTGTGTAAAAACAACGGTACCACCCCCTTAAATTTAGATATCATAGGGATCCCAATTAGAGATTTATAATTGGGAAAAACTTATTTTTCCTTCAAAATAGCGATTAAAAATGGTCAAATATCTAAGTCAAAAATTGGTCAAAATAAGTCCCTAAACCCCCACCGGCCATTGACCCTCAACAGGGTCCCTCCCTTGATCCTGCAACACCCCCCTCCCCCCAACCCAACCCTTGGGCATCCTTGCTCTGCCCTTCACCCAACAATTCCCTCCCCCACACTTTGTCTTACGCCAATAGCCCCTATCCTCCCTCCTTTGACCTTTCCCTCTCTCAACCTCTACCCCTCACCCCTCAGGGAAGTGGTGAGTTTAGTGTGTGTGAGAGATAGAGTGAAGGAGATGAAGGACTAACACTTGCACAGCTTAGGTCCAAAACCTGATATGCAAATACCAAAGAAATTGGGGCTGGCTGCACAATTCCTTTTGCAAACCAGCTCCACGTCAAGGCATTCTTCTTGTGCATCATAGATCACCATGCCGTTTCTCAATGCCCATAAGGCCATGGCACAAGCTCCTTATGACTGCTAGCTAGTCCTATTGTGCCTTACATGACTTAAACAATTCTCTTACTCATTCATGTAATTGTCTCGTGAACAAAACTTATTTAACTTTGGCTACAAATATTCCTTCTTTTCTTAGAGCACAAGCTGTCACATCTTTGCCCACCATCTCAAACCCCAATTTATCTTGGTCTTTCCTTACCTATAAGAAGTCATACTTGATGTAAGTTGACAAATTTTTAGCTGTTATGTGGTGTGGCAAGCATGTCAAATATCCAAACTTTCACATGTTCTCTTACATGCTATAGATATTTGCATTCAGAAACTTAGGTTGCGTTTGGTAACCGGTAGTTTCCGTTTTTTTTTGTTTTTGCTTTCACTTTTTGTCCAAAAAAAAAAACTTGTTTGGTGATTATTTTCATTTTTTTTTAATTGTTCCATTTTGAAAACAAGGTTAAAATATATAAACATCCAAAAAAAAAATGGACGCGCGCCTCAGTGGGTTGTATAATGAGGTCATGACTTCGAATCTTGTTAACAACAAAACTTAGGACTTTTGGTTGGAACTATAAAAGCCTCTTTCCTTTCTTTATTTTTTTTCCCTATTTCCCTCATTTGTCTCTCTCGCTGTTGTCTCTCTCTTGAAACCGAAGCCTGGTTTCTTTCTTCTAAACTGAAGTCATGGCCATGGTTTGTCTCTGCTGAAACCCGAAGCCAAAGAAGAATCAAAGACGAATCCATGGTTTCTCTCTGTTGAAACCCGAAGTCGAAGACGAATTGAACCTGGGATGGGGTTTGCTGGGGATGGGGTTGCTGGGTTTCGGGGATGAGGGTTGTTGGGCATGGGGGTTGCTAGGTTTCGGGCATGGGGTTTGCTGGGGATGGGGTTGCTGGGTTTCGGGGATAGGGTTTGCTGGGCATGGGGGTTGCTGGGTTCCGGGGGTGGGGTTTGCTGGGCATGGGGGTTGCTGGGTTTCGGTGGGGATGGATTTCGGTGAATTTCAGGGGGTTGGTGGGTGGGTTTCGGTGGTGGTGGTGTTGGGAGGTAAATTTATGGTATAATATTAAACATATTTTTTATTTTTATTTTTATAATTTTTTAAATATAAATGATAATCGAACATATTTTATATTTTTTAATATAACAAAAAAAAACAAAACTTTGTTATGTTATTTTTTATAAAAAAAAAACATAAAAATGACAATGTTACTAACCGCACCCTTAATATACACAATTGTTTATTCATTTGCTGACATTTTTACAATCTCAATTTCAATATGGGTATGAGGGTTCCAAGATTCAACATTCAGCTAACTCTACTTAAATTTCAATGACATTATGAGTGTTCCTAGGCTAATTACAAGCCACTAAACATGCCACATTTGCTAGTATGCGAGCATATTCCTATCCACCTATGTCTATTTGCATGTGCATTACATTACTTACATACAAGTACATTTTTATGCAAGCACATATGTATAACTTGATCACAGAAAGAACCCATTACCTGAGCAGAACAACCCGAACAATCAGTCTTCAGGACCGCCAAGGCCCCATGAACATCCGGGTCAATCCCCATTACCCATCCGGACTTTTCATTGCTTGGCTGACCGTTACTGTCACGGTCAGACCGCAATAGCTTCTCGGGAAATGGGCAAGTAAGAGAGTCCAACCAGTTTTCTTTCAACTGGGTATCCAAAACCTTCGCCTTCACTCTTGTATTGCCACTCAAAGAAGTTTTTATGCAGTTTTCTTCACGAATTGGGGTCTGGGTAGTTGTTAAATTTGGGGAAGATGTAGAGAAAAGCCTGAATTTGGTGGAAATTATGCGAAGTGTTGGTGTTAGTTTACAGGAAATTGGGTTCATGAAATTCGGGTCGGAAGAGAGTGGCTGGTGCTGTAGTGAGAGAAATTCCATGAAAATAAAGAGAGAGAGAGATGGGGTTTCAGTCTGATGGCATCAGTTCACGTAGGTTCTTAACTAAGCCAAAAGAAAACTTGAGAAGACTACGATTAGGTAACTGTAGCCCGACCATCGACGGTTGGGAGTTCGTGCTGTGTCAAAAAAACACTTCTGTCTGGTTCGTGTCAAAAAAGCAAAAACACAATTTTGTTATTCTCGACTGGATTATTAAATTATTAGGAGTATTAAACTCAAACTCTCTAAAATTTATCATTTAATCACTCAGATCCCCTAATATTTAAAATATTATACACAGATCTCCTAAAATTTATACGCGTATAACACTTAGACTTTTATCATTAATGTTCTTAGTATATCAGTTAATAAATTACACTCAGACCCCTTAAAATTTATAGATGTATAATACTTGACCTATCAAGTTTAAAATGTTATACTTAGACCAAAAATACTCAAATAAAAAATAGAATATTAAGTATTTTAAATTTAATAACCAAAATTTATATTTTATTGTATCATTTATTTAAATAAAATAAAAAAATAAATTTTCTTAAAAAACGTAATTAATATACAATTATACTATCTATTAAAATAAAACTAAAAAATCAAACATGAGATTTAAGGGAAATATAATTGAAAATAAATATCTAATTTTTTCTTAAAAGTCATAATTAGTATGTAATTATAAATATCTATTTAAACAAAACTAAAAAAATCAAACAAGAAGTCAAATTATAATAGACACAATATCTTTTAGCTTTAATTGAGATAATTTGGTTATTTATATGACTAAATTAAATTTCAATAGATAGTATAAATGTATACTTATTATGATATTTTAAGAAAAAATTTAATTTTTATTTTTGATTTTATTTCAATAAATGACATAATATAACATAAATTTTGGTTATAAAATTTAAAATATTTGATATTCTATTTTTAATTAGAGTATTTTTATTTTAAGTATATCATTTTAAACTTAAGGGGATTAAATATTATATACTTATAAATTTTAGGGAGATTGTGTGTGATTTACTAACGGACATCGATGACAAAAGTTTAAGTGTTACACACAGACAAACCTTAGGAAATTTATGTGTAATATTTTAAATATCAAGAGGTCTAACTGATTAAGTGACAAATTTTAAGAAATTTTGATATAATTTTTCATTTTTTTAATCATATCACGTGGAATTAATTCGTTTATTAAATAAGTTATTTTACTGTCAATGTTTTTACTTAAAAATGTAGAGTTGGTGACTCTTTACCTTACTAGCCGTGCACGTTACAAAAATGAGAAAATAAATTTTGAAAATTATACTTCCTCCGTTCTTAAATATTTGTCGTTTTACAAAAAAAATTTTATTCTATAATATCTGTCGTTTAATGAAACCAAAGTATTATTAATATTTTTTCTTCCAAGTTTACTCTTAACTTTTCAATGCATTAGATTAGGTGGAGGTTAAGTGTCTTTCATATTCTTTTTCTTCCCAATACGTATTGAATAAGGGTATTTTAGTCTTGTGCAATTTTTTTTTACTTATATTAAAGTTATTTAATAATTTTCTTAATCTCTGTGTAAAAATTTTAAACGACAGATATTTAATACCAAATGAGGTAAAATATAAGCAATAACTACTGGGCACAATGCACGGAATTTACAGCCTAACCTCCCATCTGCCCCTTAGTCGACCGCCAGCCTGCCCCCCACGCCTTCCCCAAACCCACTTGTGTGCTGTATTGATTCTGACAAAATATAAATGTGAAATAATTAATAATAATGGTAACAAATAAGATGGAGGCAATTTTAAATTTTTTCAATTGAAATCAACTCTCCTAATTTAAAAAAATTGTAGAATGGTTAATATTTGATCTAGATTCATCTATTTAAATTCAATGTCTCACAATCCATTTCACCCAAATAAGCCACCCAATTTATTTTTATAATTGGATACGCCAGCCAATTCAAACCCCCTCTCTCTCCTTTCACACACACAACACAAAAAAAAAAAAAAATTCGAACACACACACACACATTAGAATATTTGATTGTATAATGACACTTTGCAACGTAAAACAAACCGTCAATTTGAAACAGTTTTTACTTTATTTTCTTTAATATAAGAAATTGAAATCAAGCTAATCTATAATATTTTTCAAAAATTTCGAATTGTTTCCTTTAAAAATAAAAGTCCAAAAAAATCTAAACATATCTACAATACATACAATCATAATTATTTGTATTTATATTGCTCATAATCATATCTATGTCTTAAGTATATATATATAGCTAGTAGTTACCCATGCCTAAAGGCACTACATGAAAAACAAAAAACTTTAAATAATTGCCACTAGGATAATTCAATCTTTAACCATTCCCCAAAGCATTGATGCTAAAATTTCTAACTTAGTGCATAATTAAATCCAAAAATATGTAATAAACCAAACTCAATAAAAATAAACTTTTTGAAGCCGCAAGATTCATTATCATACATTCCCAACATCAACACAATCCACTTTCAAAACTCGGAACAAACACCTTAGTCTTTCCTAAAAAAAGTAAGACGAACAAACTAACCACTAAGAAAAAACATTTTAGATATGAATTAAACGTGACATAGTTTCAATATAGACTAAAAACACAGCGTGAAAATTACAATAAAAATAAATAATGGTTTTACATAATCGTAATCGAATAGAAACATCTATTCAACGGTAGTTGTGTTGCTTTCAAGATATGAGCTTCCATTGGCTTTTGCAGAGAAAATCTAGCCTACATCCGTACAGGTCCAATTGACGAAGTCTCTGCTACATAATATTCACAAAGATGTAAAATTCAGTACCCAATGTTTTATAGCAAAGAGATCATTAATCAATAGTTTTAGCATCATATTATGATAGATTGAAGTAATGCAATTTTGTACAACTTTAAGAAACGAAACACATTATCATGTACTCATCAACCTCTAATAGCCAAAAAAAAAAAACTACGATAAAAAATATTGTTAAGTTCTTTATACGCATGGTTGACATTACTATGACAATTAACTTCATCACTTCATAATGATAATGTTAAACAATATTTTTTCCAGTCACAATGGCTAGAGAGGACCAGATTAAAACCACAAAAATTAGAAAACAGGATGAACATTTAGGTTCATTGCACATCTAATAGAGTTGAACTTCAAATGAAAACCATAAAAAAAAAAAAAAAATTAATAGGGTGAATGTAGTGCTATTCCCACCCTCCTCTTTTGGTGCTTTTCAGTGCTAAAATTATGTGATTCATTTGGAATTTTTTATTCTTCACCTTTTTTATTATTTCAAACATGTGTCAGTGTGAATTTCGATTGGTTCCTTGAAAATATTTAATTAAAAATCTTTTAAAATTAGATACTTGGATTAAAATTTAATTATTGCATTGATGGTTGTTTTGAGATTCTTCTTTGTTGCTTATTGTTCGTTCAATTATTTATTGCATAACTCTAGGCATTTGAAGTTTGTCCATTTGTAATTCAATGTGAACATCCATTATGTGAACTAAAACAATGAAAATCTTATTTGGTTCCGTGGTAACTTGACAATGCATAACGACTCTGACAATTTGAGCTTTGTTTTCTTTTAACTAATGTTGTTTGTGATAATTTTTGTGTTTGGTTCAAATCTTAGCGGGATTTAAGAGTTCCTTAGTTTCAGTAATTTGTTTGAGAAGTTCAATATGGTATTGAGTACATTGTTTTTTAAGTACAGTGGTTGTGATCTTGAAATATTGATGAATTGAATTGGGTAAATATCGTTTTTTTTTTTGGAGATTGTAATGGATTATATGGAGGGATTAGGAAGATTACTTTGTGGATCCCTCATTCCCATGACTAGTAGGTATAAAATGTGTTATCTGTACGTAGATATATTTGTGTATTATTTATTGTTTATTGTATTATATCTCATGTATAAACCCATGACATTTTTTACTAACATCTTTCCCACTGTCATCTTGCATTTGTTTTTTAGTTTTTATGCTGCAACGCTTAGTATGAGCTGATATGGATATATTAGAGGAATGGGGTCGGGAAGACTTGAGGAAAAGGTTCAAAAGAGTAAAGGCGATTTCATGGTCAATTTTTTTTTTTTTATGCTATGCTCGGCTTGACGCTAGGTTTATGCAACCAAGTTTTGTTCTCTCTATCTCTATGTGTATTTTTTTGTTCTACTGTCAAATTTTTCTATATGGATGTGCATGTGTTGCCACGCCCCGAATTTTCACAAACCCGAGGAGTGAGTGTAAAGGAAGAAGAAAAATAAATGAAAGGTCATTAGGTTGGATAAATTGGTTTCTCATTCATTTTTCACGTTTTCCCAAAGTTTTTCAAACCATTTTTTTTTTCCATTTTTAGCCTATTTCTTCAAAGTTTCTAACCCCCCCTTTTGACATCCTTCCCACCTATTTAAAAGGTGTTTTACACACTTAACTAGTCTTTTAATTTTTCATAAAATTTCAACATAATCTTCTTTGTTTCTAAACCTTTTTCTCACTTAATATTCACAAAATATTTCATATGCATTATTGTATCACAACCCCCCTCACTCGGTGACCACAATCTATGTAAATTAAACATACATCATTTGTTTTCAACATACACATATAATACTCATTATATAAAAGATATCCTACATGTCAATTAGGTTTACACCCTTACACTTTAAAATGACTCAAGGTCTAAATCCATTAATTTTCTTAATTGAAATACAAGTCATTTGACTTATGCCCATACATACAAAATATGTTCAAAGGCCAAATCTCCATTCAAATCTCTTTCCCCTCCTTCCTTTAAGACTTGCTCAAGTCTCAAGTATCGAGAGCCTCATCTATAATATGATATCCCACGAATGAGTCAACTCAACTGCTGGTATGACAAAATGCTAATGCTAGGAACAAATTTAAGGCATGACATTTGCAAGTGTATATTTTTGAAAGCTATAACCATGTGATCCCTCAA